TCCGAAACGGCAGTAATCGAAAAATCGACCTTGTCGTGAACTGTTGATAGCAATCAAATTCTCAAAGTGTTTCTTACGGTTAACCAAATTTTACCTCAGTGAGGCTTTGTTCTAATGCGCGTAGCTCTCCACCTCCACTCGTCTCACCTTCTTCACACATTGCTAAATCCTCGAAAATTACCGACCTGGGTACCGCACCTAAATGTTCGTCTTAGCCAGATGATCTCTGAATGCGCCTAAATGCTAGAAACTTACCAATATCTTCTTTGAGCAGATTTCTCTGCTCTGATAAAAGCTCGCTCAGACAAAGCTCATTGTCAGGTGTAAAGCACATATAATATCGAAGCATCGCTGACTGAGCTGTTACAATGACGTCGATGTTTCCAGACCTCTTTGCCTGATCCAGTGCCTCATTGAGGTACTTCAGCGCATCATCACCAGTTTCTGGGGCTAGAGCTGCCAGCTGAAGCAAGGCACGCACTTGTTCTTGTACTGTCGCTCCAGGAACATCTAAGAACTTCTTGAGCAAGGCCCTGGTCGATTTTGGGTCATGCTGTTTTTCGTAGATGGTGGCTAGCAGTTGAAGACCGGATCTTTCGAGATAATGGTCCGAGGCAGCCTTGGCTAGACGAAGAATGCGTTTGGCTAATCGTGCAGCGCTTATGCGGTGTCCGTTCCGAATTTGTTCGCGGGCTAGCAGGAAACATGCGTGACCAAACTATAAAAGGAACTCCAAATTGCCGATCAGAGTCAAATTTTTTTTCGCTTTACCACTTTCTCTTGCGTTCTCTCTGAAGAAGTTTTCAACAATGTGTTCAGGTATTCCACTGCCTTGTCGCTGTTACCCTCTTTGATATGGCAAGTTACGATCGCGTCGGCAATGATAATTGTATCGTCTTCAGTTGTGCCATTGCCATTGACGTTGGATAGTTCTTCGAGGCACTTGGATGTTTCACCCTGAAACGGCAATTTTTGGGGGAACTAGGGCGGTATGTAACAATCGCCCGTTCGGTTAAAGGCACCGTCTACCCAAATTCTCGACTTCCATG